GTATACTGCATTATTTATATTTAATGGATTTTTTTGGACATGTGACATATGTTAAAAAATAAATAATGTAATGTTTTAGAAAAGTGCATAATATTATTTATTATTATACAGTATATCATTTATATTTATTTATTTATTTTAGTGATTTATCAAAGGAATGAATTTCCACTTGACTAGCCGTTGTCAATTGTTTCTACTTAATTTGGCAATTTTGTGGAATTGAAATCAAATTTAGACATATCAATGATCTCTAAAAAATATTATGTAATATGCATAATAATTATGTTTGGAGTTTAAATATTTTACTTATATTTACTACATAGAAAATTTCATTATATTTTATATCTTAATTTCTTATAACGGTTACAATTTGAAAAATAATCTTTTTTAATGCGAACGTTATCTTTTGGTCAAAATGGTAATTGTTTTGTAAGTTAAAATCAAATCTTCAGAAAAATGATTCATTATTTCATCTTCATTCATAGTCAGACAAGTCAGGCATTCATTTTTAAAATTATCTGATACGATTGGTTGGTTTTGTTGGTCAGTGTTTTGGTCTGTACTTGAAGGTGGAAGATTAAAACAGGTGGAATCTAGAGAGTTTTGTGGAGGATTAGCATCTAAAAATTTTTGGTTCCGATTAAGGGGCGAAGAAAAATTTTGATTCTTATTAAGTGGAGGATTAGAGGTATCTAAAGGGACGTGATTATCATTTGTATTATATACTTTATTGCTGTGAATGAAACAAAGAGGTCTCTTTTCTTTATATGTTTTTTTTACTTCTTCCGCCATCTGTCTGTAGTAAATTTTTACTTCTTCTGGCTCATTCTTCCATGAATTTCTAGCAAATTTAGAAACATCTTTAAGTTTAAGATTATACTTTGCAACTATAAGATTATATTCTATTCGATAAATCATAAATGGATTCATAGTTTTATTGCACTTGATTCCATTTTTTAAATGAATGTGTATGATTTCATCTATACTAATTGATGGGGGAAATGGGACAACTATGCTTGCAATGTTTATGTGATTAATATTAAGTGACATATTAACTGACATGTTAACTGAAATCGTAATTTTTATCAAGAAGGGAGTTATTTATGTTTCACTCTCAAAATTAATTTATAATAATGTTTAATACACAGATTCTAAGAGTAGCTAAGAGTAAAAGAATCGCAAAACTAAAAACTGATGTCTTTATGTGCAATCAAATCAAGAAAAAGAATATTCAATGTTGAACTGTTAAGTAATTAATTTTTAATAATAATGCCGTATGCTTGAAAAATTTGGGTTTAAATATTTTTTGAAAACTTGGCGCCCGACATTCGCTTTTCTTAATTTGATCTCTTTGTGTCAGGGTAACACTGTAGCTCGCGTGGTCATTGTTCATTATGAATAAGCTTATAAATAAATATAAAAATAACTCGCGTCATATTTTTTAAAATAAGGGATTTATGCTTACAAATATAAATGAACTAAATGTGGAACAAGATCATGTGTACTAAAAATTTCTCATTGGCGCGTGCATTCCTCGAATGGTTTAGCCACCTTATTGTGGCTGTTTTTATTTTAGTATTCTAACTAATCAATTTACTGCGCATTATTAAGAATAATCGTGGTGGCGAATACGTTTACTTCATAACTCAAAAATCGATTGAAGAATTTCTGTGGTATAAATTCTAAATTTTCAATTTTTACATAAGTACAAGCTTTGGGGTGAAAGTCTGCAAATTTTTATCCACCGAGTCCTAGCTTCTCCTTAAAGAATGAAAGGATCAGATTAAAGTAACTAATTTATTTCTGTTATTTTTATTTTTGGAGTGGGTATCTGAATTTGAAGATTTTCACTTTGGACAAGAAGCTCTCGGGCTTACATTTCTCCCCTTATTGAAAACTAGATACTAATTAAATTATGCTTAAAATAAGAAAAATAAATGACATGACGTGACTTTACAAAATCTTTGTAAAACTAAAAAAATCTCGGAATATTTTAAAATATTACAACAGTTGAGTCGATTTTAATGTACGATGAGAAGAATATATAATAATAATACATTCTAAAACAATCGAATATAAGAAATATAAATAAGATATAAGTTCCAAGTTTATTTTGTGGCTTAGTTTTCCCTTTTTGTATGATCATTTATAAAATAAAATTTTTAATTATTATTGCCATTTTTTGACCGTTAGTTTTTTTGGGGCTGTCTGCCATTTATGTTATGACAGATCATCAATATTGTTTTTTGAAATAAATTAGTTTTTTTGCTGGTTTTTTTTTTGTCGTTTGACGGGTAAATTCGAACTATGCATTTTTGTTTTTTAGCGATTCTGGTTGTAGGATAGATCTTTGTAAGGTTAGATTTCTTGCTAAATATTTCATATTATATTGTGCTAATTTTTTTTTTTGTATCTTTAATTTCCTTTTTTTTGACTGCTTTTGATAACTTCAGTAATGAATCGATGGATGGGTAATTTTTTTTCAGCATTGTTAATAAAGTTCTTTTTATTTAGGATTATCCTTATTTTGAGTTATCAACCTGTTAGTTTTTTTTTTGAACAGTTCAAGGATCACCGGCATGTTTGAGGTTATTGAGAGTGATGCAGATGTTTTTGTGTTTGGTTTTTGAGTTGTGCTAGTGTGAGATCTTGCTGTGATATAGTTATTTGTGGTGACGTTTTTATGGATTCGAACTTTTGGAGGTAATGCTGTGAGGAGGATGTTTATAGAAGATTCTCTTTTCTGAGTGAACAAGAAAAATGGTTTCATCGATCGACATGATCTGTACTGGAGAAGAAATTTTAGAATTTGTCAATGTAGTCTTTTTTTTTTGTTTGGGACTGTAAATTTTATTGTCTTATTCAAGATAATTGAAAGGGTGAACAAATTTTATAATTTTATTGTGAAATGAATTTTATTAACAAAACAAAATTTATTACAAATAATTTTTATTGATTAAAAGAAAAAAAGAGATGGTAAAAAATTTAATAGGATTGTAAGAGTATAACTTAAACTCTTATGTAAGTGTATGTAATGTTAAATACTATCTCAGAGTTTGAATCAATAGAATGTAATTTATTTATTATGCAATTTGAAATTACTATATACTAGGAAATGGTAAACCATTGTAGTCTGAAGCACCATTTTAAAAAATAAAAAAATTACATTTGATATTTTAAATATAAAATATCAAAAAACGTAATTTTTATTGTCATGCGTTCTTTACCTATAACAATTCAATCGTTATCTAAAAAAATCGGACAGACATCCTTTTCATAATTACATTTTTTGATATTTTTATTTTAAAAAATTTCAAGAACGTTATATTTAAATATTAAAAATGTATTTTTTGCTTTACCCTACGTGTCCATTAAATGTCTTACGTTACGCTCCAGACAATAATATTTTCATAAATTAATATCTATGAATTGGTAAGTATATGAAAAATAAATACTGTTACAAGAATGCTAGACCCTCATTTTTCAAATAATATATTTGATAACACATGGCATGTTGAGTCTGGTGCTAATACTGTTAAATATTAGAGATAATATAATTAGTTCTGTTGATCATGGATTTTTTTATTAATGGTATAACGAAACCTATTTCGTTACACTAGTCAAATACAAAAGTATCACTGTACCAAATGGTGATTCCTATATTATAGATCAGTTAAAAATCACTAAAAATCGACCGTCCTATTTCATCCTCATCCTATATTATAAATTAGCCAAAATCAGAATTCCTTTTCGGTACAGCAATTCTTTTGTATTTGACCTGTGTTAGATACTGTATGTCCTGAATGATAGTTAATTATTCAATATGACTGAAGACTGGATACATCTTCATACTGACAAATAATTCTAATTTGTATGTGTGATAGATAATTTTTTCACAATTTCATATGGTCCAACATATTTTGAAAATACTTTGTTGACAATATTACTCAATCTCCTTTATTAAATTCTTTGTGATAATGATATTTATTTGCATGATTAGTTTGTTTTTCTTGTACTATAATTAGATTATTGTTTCCCATTGTTCTAGAAATTTATTTGTAGAAGCTATATTTGTAGGTTGCTTTGTTGAGTTATAAAATTTTTCTTTACAAATTCAAGATTGGTAATAGGAAATTATGTCATTTTGAACTAGATCTAATAATAGATTTTCCTATAATTAATATTATTAATATTATTAAAATGGATTAATAGTTTAATATAAATCTAAATTTTACCAGTTTTATCAGTTTAAGATTGTGATATACAATATTAGTTAGGTGTTGGTGAAAATAATTAACTCCTTGAATAAGCTGTTTAAAAATCTGTAAGATTCTATTTCTTTCAAGTAACAATTTCAAATAATGTAATTGATAAGTTCACACAATACTCTTTGGATTGTAAATCCATGCAATTTAATGTACTTTCACACTCTCCAATAAATTGTAACAAATCTACTAATTCATTAATTATTGGAAAAATAAATATTAACAAATATTTATTAATCAAGACTTGTTAAATTAAATTAATTAACAAGAACTAGTTTTCTTCTTTATTATCTTATGCCTTTATATATAAATATATAGTAATACATGTAAATAATTAATAAAATATCTCAGGTTCATAGAATCAGATATGAAAAAGACAACTCAATTAAATAAGAATATAAAAAGAAATAAAATAAAATAGGACAAATAAAAAATACATGTGAATTGATAAATGATAATATAAATAGAAATAATATATAATTCATATATACTAATTTGAGTAGATCTAGAGAGTAGATCTAGATTAATGATTATCAGGTCATTATAATTTGTCTACCATATATAATCAGTAATCAAAATAAAATAAAATAAAATAAAGAGAAAAATAAAATTAAATTAAAAACTGCATAAAATCCTATATAGTTATTATATTATAATAAAGTGTAAGACAAAACTATTACATTCTTTCCTGTTTAATAATGAAACATTCTTATTTCATGAAATTCTATTAAAATTTTGTTACAGTTAATTAGACTTTCCTTTGATTTCCATGTTGTATCATACAATTGGTAACCTTTCCATTGTATTAGATAGTAGAATTTCTGTTGTATATACTTGATATCTACAATATTTTCTACTTCATATTCTTCCGCAGGTTGGTTATTTTGTCAATCATAATTTCAGTGGAGGAGGTAATTTATGATT